TGATTACATTTAAGTCCTGCAGCATCTAGTGGAAGGAGAGCATCTTCATTTAAAGTCTCACAGAGTGGGACCCATGGATAACCCATGACTCAAGCATATGTTTAATTTCAGTCACTCTTACCTCAGTTCCCTGCTGTAGATCTTTGCCACGTAGTGCAAAGTCCTTCGAGAACCCCCGGAGAAGGTGGCAAAGCAGCAGAAGAATCACAAGACTCTTTTAGAAAGTTTTAAAAGACTGTATATGGCACCTCCAAGTGAGACTGAGAACTGAAAAATGTACAAAGCATGGCAGAAAGTAAAAAATGTCAGTTCCGCATGCCCATATGGCTGCAATGGAGAAGAGCCACCGGAGTGACAACAAGGCTTAAACATCTCAACACCACAGTCCCGTGCAGGGATTGCTATGAAAAGGGAGCAATGTGATTGTGAGCATAAAGACGAGCCCCAAAAGATTTATAATTGATTTTGGGACCTTAGTCCTTTAAATCTTTTCATATGAGTAATTGTATTCTTCTTCTATAAGCTGTGTAGCTAATTATAGCCAAAAATGCCAAGCACTGACACTCCTTACTCACTAGAAAAGAACTGTACTCTGTGAGGATTTCCCTCGGACTTTGGTAGCGTTACTCATGGAAATGGGGTGCCACTCCTGGTATCTGGTCTTAAATTCAGAACCTGTTTCAAAGACACCAACAAATATGATATCATTCATAGTTAGACTAGTAAATAGTTCTCTGTATTTTAGCAACGTAACTATATCCAGTGTAATATGCTTCATAGAAGGAAGACGGTTAGATATTTCAGTTGATTTAGCTGTAAATTGCAATGGCTGCTGGTAATAGTGAAGAAAAATTAAGCATGCCTGCCCAAAACTCAGGCCTGAAGAAGAGGCTTCCGCTAAAATATTCATGTTTTTCTAACCAAGAACAAATTCCTTATCATATGAGCTGGACAGGTCTTTTCCTGTAGTTTTCAAACCTCGATGTTTTATTGACCAAACTCCTTGCTTTAGACTTGAGCTCATGTTCTCCGAGGAAGTACAAGTGGTAATTATGCAAGTCTTTCCTTCCCTGTCATAGGCAACATTCACAAGGGAGATTTACAACCTTCAGCTTTCAGATATGGGGACCGGTTGTTTAAGTTCAGTGAAAATAACTCTGACACGGTGAATGGCATCAGAATTGGAACAGCTCCTCTAGCAACTGGCTACCTGGAGAGACCTGGGAGTTTGTCATTACATTTTTCTTTTCTTTCCTTCCTCTAAACCCTAACTAAAAAATTGGTCATATGTTATTTTGTTTTATAAAACAGATGCCTTAGATGCAGTGTGTTTTAATCCCAGAGGCAATAGCAAGAATCAAACTAACCTATAGCCTGACTGATACTTTTTCAGTCTTAAAACATCTTATGAGAGAGGTTAAGGTAATGTAGAGACACGATAAGGAGAGACTGTGTTACGAGCTGGTAGGAGCAGCGTGCTGGCCTAGAAACATGGTCAGCACCACTGTAAACAAAATGCAGTGCAAGTTAACTTTGAAAATGAAACTCAAGATGCGCTTTCTTATCACAAAGCCTCCAGAAAGTCAGGCAGCCGATGCATCTGAATTACATTTAGCTCAAATTCTGATAGACAGAGGAAATGGTTTGGCTTCATGCTGCTGTAAACATACGCATCTGCTCCAAAAAGAAGCAACTGGGGGACAATCAAGAACTCACTTTACGTCAATAGTCCTTTAGTTCACATCAGAAAACTGTGGGTTAGCCCCTTCATGCACACCCTTACCATGACTGACACCGGTGCTGCCTTCCCATGTGTGACTGCTCTAAGAGCATGGTAGGTACCGAGGGCAGGAGAGCGACGCACAAGCAATATGGCTGCTCCCGTAATGACCAGGTTTCTGTGACCCTTTAGTGGACTGCAATAAGGATCTTTTTATTAAAACAAAACAAAATAAGACTGAAAGAGCTCCAGGGCAGAGCTGTGCTCTCTTTTGGCTTGTGTTAACCTCTAGCCAGAATCTGGCCATTTAAAGAAATGTACCTCAGCTGTTTTTCTTTATTTTTAGAAGTTAAAAATGAAATATAAGGCCCATAATAAAATGCATATGAGGACACAAATCACTAGACTTGAGAACGACGTTAAGAACTATTCCCCACCATATAGGTGTTCATTCATAAGAGCGTTCTCCTCATGAAATTCAGAAAGTAATCTTGTTATATGTATGTTGATGTTTGTGATATTATTTATTTCTATGGTAACCAAAGCAGTAAACATAGCAATATTAAGAAACAACAATCAAGAAGAGAATTTCTTGCAGAAGAAGTCAACTAAGAGCCTAAACAGAGGTGTTTAGATGATGGTGTAATTTGCTATAATAACTGTTTTGCTGCATATTTGGCAAGCCCTGGATAACTCACTTATGAGTAATGCATTTGTCCAAAATGCATTCAAATAAAAAATAGTTAGCATGCTGTATTATCATGCTATCATGTATTAGCAAGCACAGATATTTCCTTTCCGCTTATTTTCCCACGACAAGAACGCTTCTTACTGAACTCTGGTTAACTGTAGATTGGTAGTTATTTCTCTCAGGTCGCAGAGCCTTTTGGATCTCGGTTAGGTGATGCAGAGCCACACATCATCAGTCCTTTGCTATCTGGAGCTATCTAACTTGGTCGTGCAGCCTCCCACATATGTCTCTGCTGTCTGCTCCATCTGGAGCTAGCTGGCTGCTCTCCTCTGGCCCCGCACTCCCAGAGCGCAGTGCGGGCTGCATTGCCAGAACATCTGGCGTCTACTGGCTTCTCTTGGGTGCATACCCAAAGCACAGCCTTTTCAAAGTTGGACAGTCGCCTCCATTTGAAACTGTGCTAGTTCAAAGTTCTGGGATTTGTCCAGAGACTTGTAGATACATGGGAATATGTTGTATAACTATCTGTTAGGCAGAATCAAGTGCATATTTCAAAGTGATACATTCATTGTCTTTGGGATGCACTGACATTTTGCCTAATCTTCCCCAGCGTCAGTGGTGATCTGGTTTTAGAATACTCTCGTGCTGAACATAGAATCATTCTGAAGAACAAGAAGTGGAAGAAATGTAAAACCAAGCAAAATAAGCCCTTGATTCTGCAATTGCATCCATGCTGCATCAACACCTCCAGGCTATACACAATATGAAATGATGTGTGGCAGGCTACTCCTGGTGAAGGCAGAGGTTGCCCCTTGTTTGAGAAGGTAGGTGCACAAAATAAGGTCGTTCCATGCTTATAGGAGTGAAATCTATACAACAGCCCCCACATCTTCAGCTGCTCTCTTCATATATGAATCAAATCATGCCCTGGCTATAGCAGGGCTCCCGCCGACTTCATAATAGGAAATGTATTACTGCTTTAGAGCCGACTTGGCTTTATTTAAAATGATTTAATACATTAGTTATTAAAAGTTTTGTGTTTTGGAGAAGCAATATCAACAGGTGAAACACAGTCCTGAAATTCTTTGACCCTCTGTTTTGCACTTCCTGATAGATTCTGCACAAGAACATAATGTAGCAATACATAATTAGTACGTTTTGTTCAGGATCAAATCCTGGACCTGGAGCACAGTACGAACACCCAGGAGTGGCTCTGCAGTTGACTTCACCCAACTGATCCTGGCATGGAGCTGTTTCGGGCTCTTAGGCAGTGTCTCAACTGACAAGTTAGCTTGAAAGGCAAGGCTACATATGACTTCGCATCCCTGCTTATATACTGGCTTCAAACCTCAAGTGACTTTGGCATAAGTCTGGAGTGAACAAGAAGGCTCTCCAAGGAGGGAACTTCATGGTCTGAAGCAGGTGACTCTCATTCGGGGTCCATTCAATAGAGCTGGAGGAGCTGCTCGACTCTGCAAACCTGACCCTCAAGCAGAGGCCAGCTCCCAAAGCCAGCACAAGCATGGCTTCATCCAGCTGATCCTGGCATGGAGCTGGCATGGAGAGATCAAGAGCCTTTTACAGTTTCCCCAAATCAACTGCCTTCCTCCTGTTTGGCCTTAGTGCAGAGCATTGGCGTTTTCTGCGTTCATCACAGACCACAGAGGCAGGAGCTGCCTTTGAAAGCAGGAAGTGATTAACTATAAAAATAGCATTAAAAAATGGGCGCTTCACCTGGAGTGGGACGAAGACTTACCTATTACAAGCACTGTCTGAATACACCAAGACAATTCTGTATAATTACAGCAGGTCTAGAAAGAAGAGGTACGCAATTGCTTCTCCATCCATAGTCTAATGACTCAAAGCTAGGTAGGCATAAGTAAAATACACAATAAATGTATATGTAGCTGTAGTTAAAAGTGAAACTTAATATCCTATGTTAGTACATAGTACTCTCTTACCAAGAAAACTAATTTATAGGTAAAGAAACAGAGCTTAAAACTACGAGACCGTGTGTTTTCAAATAACCTAACTAAAATGCATACTTACTTACCTTTTATTCTCCTGCTGTGTGTGCACTGAGCTGGTCCGGGGAGTTCTATGAGGTAAGAAATTCCTGTTCAACAAAAGTTCCTTTTCTAAAAAAAGTGAACATAATGGAAAAGGGGAACCACTTACCAGGCAGCTGAAAAAGGAGCTGACTGTGCAGAGAATTTCACACCTTATGGCTTTTGGTCAGTAAAGTACATAAACAAAATGTAATTTTCTATGCAATTACAGAGGGTCACACAAAAATATTATGTTTTAGAAACCCACTCAAAAGCATATTGCTGTCTAAGAGCCCAATCCGGAAAATGGTTACTCACTTTAGTAAAGTTGCTTGTAAGCATTTCTGGGAGTGTGGCCTAGGAGACATTTTCCTTTTTATGCTTTCTTAAACAGTTTATGTGATAGTAACAACAGGAAGATAAATTACTTTGAATGGTAGCAATTAGAGAAATAAGGAGTGTGATAGATTTACCATGTGGAAAGCATCTCTCACACGTTTTCTTACAGTCATTAAACCTGGTTTGAATAACACAACACTAATTTCAGAAAGAAACAAAGTTTATTTGATGAATATAAACAAGCTGATCAACACTAAATACTTCCCATACACGTGATAACAATGTTATGAACTCTAAATACCTTGGTACTTTACACTTCTACTAGACATTAAATTACAAATGACTGTCTACTACATGCCGACTGGTAATTTCTAGGAATTCCTTAGTTTCATATCAATGTCCTTAACCACATATCAATATTACAATCCAGAACATGCCACTCACTTCAAAAAGAATATTACAAGAAGCACTATCAAATGAAGACCTAAGATAAATAGGGAATACTGACCCATTGTTGCAGAACATCACATTCAAACATCACTCTACACAAAAAAAAAACATTGCAGATATAGTTTGTGTCAACACATCTGAGGTCTTTTCATAAACACTGTTTAAAAAGTAAATTGAAACCCACTTTCAAATGAAAGTCAATGTGCAGGTACGTGCATACTAGATACACAAAATTCATTAAATACAAAATTCATACTGTACATTTAAATGAAAGAAAGAATGTGTAGTACAAGACTGATCTCACATTAAAATAATATTCATTATCTTAAATGTTAACCAAAATTTGGTTTACTTCTTTATACTTAGAGGGGGAAAAAAAAACTACCAAACATCGCTCAAATAAAATATTCTCCCAACATCACAGTGTTTATTGTAAACCCCGAGATTCTATTTTAGTATATGAAAAGATTTTCTCCAAACATCATAGAGTATCACATGAAATGAAAGAAAAAAAAAGCAATGTTACACAAAATTTTCCTCATTAGGGGCTAAATTGTAGGCCCTGATAAAAGTTTAGATCAATACTCTTACCAACATGAGTGGAGCAAAAATGCCCCTAAAATAATATCTGTGACAAAATTGGCACATACATATAAATATCTAACTATACAGCTTTGTATCTGTGACCCTATTTTCCCCTAGTTTATTTCCTACTTCAAGTATTCAGTTGCAGAGTTAAGGTAGAGACCTGATTGTAAGAGACACAGACGATTGTCTCCTACTACGACAACAAATTTGTCATGAGAAACTAGTTTTGTTGTCTGAGTTTCCAAGTGCAACATTTGTCATATGTGCTAAATAAACTCCCAAGAGCTTTGCTGTTTCAAAAACAAAGATCTAAAACACCACTGATTGATAGTTAAAGGACAAACTTTTTAAACATGAATGAAATTTGGATTATCAATGCTATACTAATTCTATACATTTTATTCTATTTACTGAAGACAGTAGCATCCAGCAGGACTCCTGCTTGAATAAGTTGCTCTTTGATTGCACCAAGAATTATGGTACAAATACATAAAATATCATCTCTAGACAATCATTTTAAAGGGGTTACTATATGTATGGCTCATGTAGGATGATTAGGGTTAATTGCACCACAGTTTCAAAAAATACTTTTTCTAAATTCAGTGCAAGACTTTAGGAATATCCATTTAGATATTTTCTTTTTACAGCAGCAAAGAAAAACTACTAAGAATTAAGGCCACCCATGCTTAAATTTATTGTTTGTCCTTTAAAAATGCAGATATTCCATTCCCACTCACATCAGCACAGAAGTATTTCTTCCATGGACAAAAAGATGCCTCAATAAAACAGCCAAACATTTGCACGTTTGCCAGACTGACTGAAAATGTTCGTGGAGTCACAAGGATCCTCTCCTTGAGAAGCGATAGACATTTGACTATCAGTTATATTCTCTCACTGAATGTAATGACTTCACATTTCTATTTTTCCTTGCATGTGCTTTACTTTTATTTTACTAGATATATTTTGTGGATGCAAACAGCCTTTAATTGCTATTTGTTCATTGGTATTTTCTTCTTTATCATCTAAAATTCATTGGGATACATGATGAAGACTGTTTTTCAATACAGAAAACAATAACAAACAGTTCCTCATTTACAGGAGACCTAGTGCATATACTGTAGTCACAGCAATTTTATCTTTATTTTTTATTTTTTAATGAGTCCCAGTTTTTATCATTTAAAACCTGTATGTATTTGGATGGTAAAAGGTTGATACATCCTTGTGTATGTGTCCATATATATACATATGTATTTATATAATCCTCAAGCTTTTACCATCCAGCAATAGATACATCTTGTACATTATCTTATATTTATGATCAAATTAGATGTCCTATGCATTGTCAGAGACACACACCGTATTTTCTTAAAGCTAATCTTTGCCATCAGTTATTAGTACCAAAAATTGATTTCATTTCCAACCTGGCCCAGAGCTTAATACCGGTTAAACTATCAATGTTATTTTTTAATTATTATTTTATCAGTAGATATAAGAAAACAGAGGAGGGTAAAGGCTCGGTTTTAATTTTGGAAAAGCCCACATCTAACTGGGGGTAAGATTAGTGCCGACACCCTTATATAACATTTTACTAATACCTTTCTGATAATCTAGTGCAATAGAGGTGATCCTTTAGAATATACTAGGTAAAATCAGCAAATGCAGATACCACACCTAAAAGAATGTGAATTACCTATTAAAAATCAATATCAATTTACCCCAAATTAGTTAGAAAACCTGTTTAACTGAACTTCATTAAACAATAATACTCTAAAGAGATGGTTTCTTTGTGAAAACAGAATAACTTACAAGACCCACTAAAGGCAGAAATGAAGCTTTTGTAATTTCCGCTTCAGTCTCCTTCATTATTTTCCAAAGTACCTAATTTCATGATAGACTACAAGAAATAAGGGAGAAGATGCCAATTAATGCAACATTTCATTAGATATCAACCTCAGCATTCCTTTTCTGCATCTGTGATCTTCTCCGGGATATCATGGTCACGTTTGGAGATCCAATGCAATAGATTATCGTTGTAACACTCCAGTGATGCATTTTTTTCTTCCTCTTTCGCTAGCTCCTCTGACAACTGTAACAAGAGAACAAAATATTCCAGTTAATAAAATGTTTGAAGCATACCAGCAATCCTAGTTCTCATCTAGCCAAGTTTCTCACAGACATCAATGGATATTTTGTTGTTTTAGGGACTAAGGGTTAAGTATGGCCTTAAATTGGACTTGAACCTGCCTTGTTATGTTTATACGGTGGCAATTCGTTTTACAGCTGATTTGTATGGCAAGGTCCCCTGAAATCAGAAAGATTTAAAATTCCAAAGATGTGAAATTCTATTGTGTTTTTGATTCTGTAAATGATGAGTTTTCTGATCTTATCTACATGCACAGTAGCTTTGAAGTGTAAATAGTATTAATAAAACTATTTTTTTTTATTGGAAACCAAAGAATCTCCAATTTATTTCCATTAAGTTCCATGGCAGGTGGGAATACGTAGCACCTCTAGCAACCCTCCAGAGCTGAAGATACTGAAAGCAACGTTTTATTGTTGTATTTTAAGAAAAGTCTGCTTTAATTTACAAGATAGTAGAGAAAGGCTTTACAAGAACCTCAGATTTATAAAAGTTAAAATCTCTTATGAGTATTTCAGCCATGCAATCACTTATCGATGACTGTTGTTCTTACTGGCTTAGCTAGTACTGCCGAAACCCAGGGAACTACTAAAAGCAAGCGTGGGAGCCGGACTTAGCCAGTGGAAAGATCCTTATTGATTTCCTTGGGCTTTGGATGTGGCTCTGTCTGACTGCGAGAGACTGCAGAGAGAGCGCTCAATGATTTTTATTGTAACGCTACTTCTGTTGCAATCAAATGGCACCGTATTCTTGAAGAGAACGCAGTGAATTAGTCTTATTCAGTATACGTTTATCAGATGAGTGGGAGGAAGTGAATGATTCCTTCACAGGGCAGTTGTTCATTTATCTACTGACTTTGTTTCTAGGAAAACGGAAATGCATTATGTAGGGGACTCTCCAGTATGGACACATTATTGTAACCTAAGGAGTTCCCAAAACATCCAGTTGTATTCAAAAAATGTGTAACCATAGAATTTTTACACTTTTGCATACAGCTGAAAAAATACGTTTTGGAAACAGAACTATTTGACTAAAATGCCTCTTTAAACTCTAAAAGCTAATATTTGTCAGAGTAATTACGCTGTGAGTAAAGAGCAACACTTCATAAAATGTAGACAGATAACTTGCAAATCATTTTAAATCCACATTTTCAAGTTCACGTCTGTGTGGCAACTACATATAACAGTTTATATAACATAAACTTAGATTAATATTTTTACTTTTCCAATAGGAGGTTGATACAATTCTTCTGGATAAAACACTTAGGGACTAACCCACAGCCCACTGAAACGTGGAAAGGCTCCCATTGATTTTAACGGGCTTTGGATCTGGCCCTTGAATGGAGAAAAAAATGACTTCTGCAGAGCTGGAAAGCCAGGGAGTTCCTAAAGTAGATCATGTTACTAGTTCTGGCACATAAAATCTTTGCAAACTTTTTATGAAAACTTTAAGTCAGAGCATGCATTACGTTTCGTGAACTGTGCATAGCTCCCATTCCTTTGTGTACTGAGTATTTCTTAATCATCATTCAGAGAGATATACAGGCATAGGAAGCACCCATATAAATTAACGAGGAGAGTACATTCCAGAAACCTTAGCACAAAAATGTCTATATTTTTTAACGGGTTCGCTAAATCATAATCACAGCAAATCTTCAATATACTTGATATTTTACAAGCTGAAGTTCCTTTGCAATTAACACTCCTTTGCGCTCTTAAAAATAAGAACCCAGACTAAAGAGTCCAATCTGAGAAACAGCAACAAATATAATCTCTCTCAGGCTTGCTCCCCAACTTTTCATTGGGGTTTTTAGCACAGAATGAGCCTCCTGAATAAACCCCACCACCTAATCAACCCACACATTCATCAGGAAACCATATATGTATTGGAAGTGTAACAAAAACTTGTTCACCACAGGTAGGAAATGCAAAATATTTCTCAAGTAAGTCAAATAAATATATAAAAGGATATTGCTGTCAAATACCAACTGAGGCTGAGTAAATTAAATTTATATTTATTTCTTCAATGCTGTACTTGGTATAGGTCACTGAACCTCTAAAACAGAAATAAAATTTGGTAACATACACTGGGCATGATATTCAGCAGTGCTCCAGCTGAAATTAATGTCTTATGAGTTTGGCACCTCTGACAGTCCATTAGATACCAGTCAATGAAAACAGCAGAAGGATGTGAAGATATAAAAGTGTAGTAGCCCACAAATATTTGTTCAGATTGTTTTTCCTTTGGATAAAGACACCTGCCTGATTACTACTTTTTACCTCCAATCCTTTCCTCTCAGCAGTGATTTGCAGAAACAAGCTGGGAGAGAGTGGATAAACACAAAGGGGTTAAAGGGGAAACTGTTTAATAACAGTAGTAAAATGCAGGCTATTTTTGACATCTGGGTTAATGTCCATTATGCTCCATATGCTTTCCAAATGTTTGCGACAAGCACCCAGATACAAAAACAGATACCCATTCACATAGGTCTAAATTGCCCTCTCCTAACCTGTTACACATGGTACCTACATAAAAGGCCAACAACTGATATGGTAATTAGTGAGGCAGAAAGACGGGGAATAGCCAGTTTATTGTAAGCAACTGGTATCTGACCAAACGCTAGGAGAGGAGGATACCATTAACGAAAATCTGTTAGGGCTATTTCTGCCCTAAGGATTAGGGTGTTTCCTTAATCTATGACAAGACATCTGCATCATAATGTGACATCTTTAAAAAAGCTGTCAGAACAAATTCCTCAGTTTCCTTCTTCAGAATACTGACAAATTGTGCAGAATTATTTCATTTTCTGGAAATAAAAAGTAGTAATTCTAAAATAGCGTTAGAATGACTTATGAACTCTTTCTCATGTGACTTCCTGGCTCTTGCAGCAACAAAATCTAAATGACGTGAAGAAAACAAAAAATGCATTCTTAATTTTTATTTCTCTCTGTCCAAAATCATGAAAAAATGACAGGATTAAGACAAAGCCCTGGCATGGTACTGTTCTGAATTCTGTCTCTGCCACTAGCTCATCGTGTGCCCAAAGAGAAAGTCACATCACTTTTCTGTGCCTAACTTGCCCTTCACTATAGCAGGTATAACATCAGGCTCTTCACAGGAATTTGCAAGGCTTAATGTTGGTAATGTGCCTTACTAGTCTTGGATGAGTGCTAAGTATTATTATTTTCCAGTTCCTGCATTTGATTAAAACTGAAATAACACAGTAAAAATTAAATTAATATATTAAGTTACAAGTAAAGAGCAAGCATGTGGTTTGTGCAGCTACTTGTAATACTTTTAATATGAACATGTATTACAGCCTAGGTGATTCCCAAGGTCTGTAATGACATGTACCATGTGGGCATAACTTAACTGCAGAATCCCCCCAGATGTTAGATTCAGCCAAAAATCTGCTCGTGGCTTCTGGGCAAGCCGAGAGCTCGGGCCGGTGGGAACGGTGCGGGCTGCTTTTTCCTGGCCTCGGAAGTGCCGTTGCAACCATGATCAGAGGGCAGAAATTTGCGGCTCAGCACAAGAAACAAGATTAGGTAGCGTACATCTAAGGGAGCGCTTGCCACTGTGCAGTGCCCTTAACAGAAGATATTAATGTGGCAGGATATCTACAATCCACACTTCTCTGTCATTATAAGCCCACCAATAAATACTGCTCTTGCTCCTTCCGCCTGGCTTATTTCTCACTAAAAGATGATTTTGAATGAAAAAAACTGCTCTCCGTTACTACAGCATATATCCCGTTAAAGCCTGCTCTATTGACGTAAAGGTCTTTATCAAGGAGGGCCAGGAAGAAAAACAATTAAGACGTAAAGCTGTATCCAGCCTAAGTAGAAAACTTTCAATACCGAGATGCCAAAGACACCTAAGACACTTGTTGAGCTGAGTGAAAAGGTAAAATCCAGTTTAAATTTATAGCATTCCTTCAGTGTCCCTCTAGGAGTTTGGCGTTTTGCCAGTGTTCCTTGTTAAAAATTTGTTAAACGTGTTTGGCATTAATGCAAACACAAAGTGCTCATTTGTTACAAATTCTATTGGAATGCATTCATTTAAGGCAATGAAGTAGTTACCAGAAAAGAAAAAAATGTTCATTAAGTACATTTTAAAAATACAATGATGTATGCGGTGCATAACTATGGCGCCCCAGTGGCTATATAAATATCTGACAGAATAACCACAACTTGTGTTTGGTTTGAAATTGGAATCTTTTAAACATAACCGATAGAACAAAACCTGGTTTTGTTTGTTGTCAAAACTGATGTTAGTCTTTCTTGTTTAGAACTAGTTAAAATAACCAAAGTTTTGGCATACAATTTCTTACATCTCAAATCAATAAAGCACACAGGTTAAAGTCACGCTAAAGGAAGTTTCTTGCTTCAAATGGTAAGTGCAGCACTGAGTATTATCTGGAGAACCCTGAACACAGAAGGTAAACACCGTGCCTGGGGGAGAACAAATTTCAGTCATTCTTAAAAATCCACTTCAGGAAATGTTACCTGGGAGATCTGCAATTGTCTGACCACGTTCGGTTCTGCCTAGGCAAAGAGTGTCCTGCTCTAGTCATACGGCACTAATAGTTCAGAAAATAAAAAGCTCAAGCCTAGTTTACAAAATCCTAATAACAAATCTCTTTCCACAATAACATGAAAAATCCCTGATGATGATAATTCTTTATTCTAAAAAATCAATCTGTGCAGTTATAAAATATCTTCTTAGCTATATTGTTAAAGCAGAACCATTTTTCTTTTTACTTTATGATGATTTATGAGTCACTTAGCCTAAATCTTAAAAATGGTAAATATAGGAGCAAAAAAACTTTTTAAAACCCAGAAACTGCATGATTTAATTAAATATTGAAAGATCCACACGAAACATCAGTATAAACAATTATTTATAAAGACAAAATGAACTTTGTTCCAATTCTGGCAAAGAAA